TCTATGTGGCACTGGTCAGGCCGCAGTTGGAGTACTGTGTCCAGTTTTGGGCGCCGTACTTCAAGGAGGGACGCAGGGAATCTCGAGAGGGTCCAGAGGAAGGCCACTCGCGTGATTAGTGGCCGTCATGATAGACCCTATGGGGGGAGGTTGAGAGAGCTAAATCTCTTCAGCCTTCACAAGAGACGGCTGAGGGGAGATCTTGTGGCCGCCTATAAATTAGGGGAGGTCAACGGGGAATAGGGGAAGCGCTGTTTACTAAGGCGCCCTAGGGAGTGACTAGGAATAACGGGTGTAAACTAGTTGAGAGTTGATTTAGGTTAGATATTAGGAAGAAATTTTTCACAGTAAGGGTGGCCAGGATCTGGAATGGGCTTCCAAGAGAGGTGGTGCTATCACCTAGCTTGGAGGTCTTCAAGAGGAGACTAGAGAGTCACCTGGCTGGGGTCATCTGACCTCGGTCCTCTTTCCTGCCAGGGGCAGGGGGTCGGACACGATGATCCATTGTGGTCCCTTCCGACTCTACAATCTATGAATCTATGAGGAAGAACCATTTTCTTAACTGTCAGCATTAATTCTAAATGCTAGTTTATTTGAAGAGGGAGGAAGTGTTGTTAATGTTTTTCTGCAGCTTTACTGACCTAAGTTAAGCCTATTAACCAACACTTTGATTCACATGAATAAATAAATCAACAGTTTCTTATTTAATTTCCTCCTCAAGCCACCACCTCTTCATTTTTCAAACATTTACTTTCGACTTTCAACTCTTCCCTACCTGCCCTGTTTTTACCATTTTTGCTCCAACTTCCCCATAAGTAGATGCAAGTCTGTAGCAAGAGGGTATAGAGGAAAAAAGCACCAATGCTTCTGAGAGAGAGGAGATAATGGAAAGGGAGAGAAAGAACCTTACTTTTAAGGGAAAGATACAATCCAAATTGAAGTTGAAACGGATAGGTTTTTTTTAGTGTCCCAATCTTTGAAATATTTTGCATTGATAAAGTATCCCTAGGGTGCTGAAGAACTGTCATACATTGTGTTGATAGTCAGAGCCATTTGAAACAAAGCTTGTGATAGAAAGCCACTTCGGTAACTGGAATCACAAGAATGCCTATAAGGCTGAGATGAGCATTTAAACCATGTGGCTTTACTAGGGATTAAGCCTCTGGAAGCTACAGAAAAAACCAAGCCAAGCATTTCAGAAGACCACTGTACTCTGGTGTCAGAAGAGGCTAGAACAGGGGTGGGTAAAATACAGCCTGCAGGCCACATGTGGCCTGCCAAGTAACTGGATCTGGCTCACAGACAGGCACCTCCCAATTGATTAAATCTGGTCTGGACACTTCACAGCACTCTGCATGGGACTGAGCTCCCACCCTGTGTAGCTAGCCCATGCTGTGCTCCTGCCTGTGCCTGCCAGACAGCACCACCCTGGCCATGGCTAACGCATGCAGATTCCCAGTGGGGCTGCTCAGCTCCCTCCACCTCCAGAGGTTACTCCTCCTCCTGCACCCTCCTGGCAGTGGGTAGCATGGAGAAGTCATGGGGACAGATGACCAGCCAGGCGGCTCCTGCCCAGCTGCATTTTCCACACTCCTGGCTGGGTGTGTGAGACCCAGCACATATCTCCATGGCTTCCTGCACTGTCTGCTGCCCAGAGTAGTGTAGTATAAGGGGAGGAAGAACAGGAGCTGCCGGAATTGGGAAAAGCCAGGCAGTATCTGGGCGGCTGCTGCAGCAGCCCAGCTGGAAAGCTGCATGCACCGGCTGGTGCTGTACTGTCTGGGGGATGCGGGTGGGAGCACCACACAGACTGCCCAGGGCAGGAGTGGGCAGGGCTTGGCGGGGGGGCGGGGAAGAGAAGGTTGAAGTGGACCACACCTGCACCACCCAGGTGAGCTGTCCTGCACATGCCCCCTATTGGCTTTCAGGACCTAGGATGTGGGCAGCCCTCCCCCACAATATACAACAATAAGACTGTTTTGAGCTATCATGCAATCAACTCTGTATACACTACAAAACAAAAGTTATCAAATAGAAGTTTTCAAATAAAGTTAAAACGTGTTACAGTAGATGTTTGACTTTAATATACAATTTAAATCTATAATTTGCTAAAATGATATCTTCTGAAAGATTGCATGTGCACAGCCTTTGACATCTCACCAAAACTCGTTAAGTGGCCCACCAGTCGAAATATTTTAGCCCAGGGCTGGGCAATTAAAGTTACAGGTACACGAAAATGCTGGTGTACAAGTTTGAAGGCCTTCCCAAAAGTAAACCAGAAGGTTTAAATATATGTTGACGTGGCTTATTACTAGAAGATTATTTTGTGTTAAAAAATAAGGTCGTAAATGTTGGTGGGAGACAATGCTTTAAATGGAAGGAAATTATCTAGTTTGTACATAACTGGATTGAGAGCCAGAAATGCTTTTCAAAGAGTCAGTGAATTACCAAGAGCAAATTTAGATGGCCAGTTTTCTTTTCCTCCAGACCAGAGGACTTACTTTCAGGTACCAGTGTTGCATCAGCCTTATCTTAAACCCCAACCAGTTTAGATTTAAAGTTTATAGTCACTACTGAGAAGTAAACAAGGGTGGAAAAAGTAAGCCATTTCAATTTTGTTGACTTCAAAAAGTCTGATTATACTTTCTTTTAATTTTTTTGGTGTTCTATACTTCTTCCCTTTAACCCAGTCACCACAAAGGTACAGTAAACTGAGCTAATTCAAAAAACATTTACCAACTGCCAGTAAGATCCAATACTTGATTACAATTAGAATGTGTAATTACAAAAGGGAGCCAAAGTTTATCTTTCTTCATCCCCTGCCATTCACTCAATCCAGCTAATGCTCTGCTTGCCTCAGTTGAGTAGCTTGAAAGGGATTGATTTCTGAGCAGCTAAACTATTAGCTCTCAATACTCAGCAGTCTTCACAGCCAAAGTCTATTTTCAGAGTAGATCAAATTACTGCAAAAATAATTTATAAGTTTTAAAGAAAAGATGTTCTTCAGTGAACCCAGATGATGTTCATTCCAATTAAAAAACAAACAAACAATGAATTATTTTTCCCTTTATCACTTCATAATCCTGCAATGTCTTTATTCCATTTGAAAAAAAGTTGAAACAATTTGAAGAGGGAGAAAGGTATATGACAAAAGTGTAGCTGAAATTTGTATACATATTGACCGTCAATAAGCTACATATTTTTCAACAAGTGTGCCAGAAAAGTAAAATATATGTTCTTTATGATAAAAAGAGTACTGATACTTTATTTTGGTAACAAAGTCCAAGTTTATTATGTGGCTGCAATATCAAATAAAAAGAAACCTATATTAACCGTGTCATGTAAACCTTGCCCTAAAAGTAAAGTGTTTTATGATCTGCTGAGGACTGGTTAGAGATGCATGTAGAAAGATACCCGTGTACATTTCTGCTAATGAACCATGTGCACGTGCACAGGATAATTTTAAGCAACACTAATCTTGTGGCCACAGACAGATGTGCATTACCCAGAAACAATGTAAAATGATGGATGAAGTTTGGTTGAATAGATTTTATTCCAGAAGCAACACCTGAACTACTACTACTCCACCACCACCACCTACCTCGTTTATCCCTAAACCACATCTAAAGCACCCAATTGTCTAAACTGTGATCACCAAGGTATCAGTCAGTTACAATTAGAAATGTCAGTCACAGAAACTGTCATAACAAATGACATTTGTAGGTCATCTACAAATCTAGTCCTTTTAGGATGGGTGAGAAATAGCACATAAGCCATCTGTGAGGGAGGTTAGGCTAGATTACCCTCAACATCCCTTCCAATGCTGTTATTTTAAGAATGTATTTCAGCAACCTCAGACAATCATTTGTACCTGCTGTTTTAGAAGTTGCAAGAAACCACACAGGAGTCAGGTCATGATCTGATCCTCCCACTCTCCTCATCAAGGTCTCATCATAATTCCAAGAGACTGATCAATGGAAACAGCAAGGTGTCAAAACTCATACCCGACTTTCAAACAACACCTATTTAGGTCATTGAACTAAATTTCAGCATCTGTGGATTGCATGGATATCCAGAGTTGTTATAATTAATACAAACAAAAAAAAATAAACTGGTGGAAATGCAAGACCTTTGTGTTTTCAGGATTGAAATCAATCCCATGTTCTTGTATTATGAAAGATAACAGAACCACATGATCCATTTTTTCTTACCATTAATTATTTTATAGCTTTGTCTTCCCACTTCCCTTTCTGTAGGTTCAATACACTTTTTTGATCCACTGTACCATTCAATCCACCCCCAGTATTAAGGACAAAATCATATAGGTTAGAGGTTTTTACATAACACAGAAAAGTGGATGTAGATGCAGTCTTTTTTCTCCTTTACATACTGAAAACTTCTCTATATCCATAAACAAATATGTATGCGGTTTGAAAAAAAAAGAAAAACCCAACTCAACAAACCACCACCTTGGCTGGTACTCTGAATGGATTGATTAATGGTCTTTTCCAGAACACCTTGTTTTAAATTGCATATTATGCAGCCATAAATTGAAGACAGCTAGGTTGCCTATACACTTTCCTTGTATAATTTCTGACCTTAGACATAATGCATTTTTAAAATTGTATCATTATTGATTCAGCTTTATTTTTATTAATCTCAAAACTCAATTCTGTCAAATGCATTTGTTTTTTAAAATGCATACATTTAAATGACATCTTTTTAGGGGCATAGTTAAATTAAAAAAAATATTCCCCCCCCCCGGTATTAGAACACTTTGTACAACAATCCATTAGGAGCCAATACATTTTGTATGTATGCAGAGTAGTTGTAGATTCATAACAACCTGGCAGCATGTCTATAAAATGGGAAGAGCAGGTTGAAATCTGTTTTTGTATAGAAACCTATTACTGTTAAAACCAGATGTATGCATTTCAGGGATACAGAGGGCAGTAACACCCTCTGTTTAACTGCCATGAACACTAAGGCTTTATTTTTTAATCTTGGTATATATGCAAAGCAAACACAAAAATATACTCTTTCACACCACATCTTCCTTCTCAGGGAATTGCACAAGATCAAAGATTACTAGGTATGCTAAATTTAGTAAAATGGATTTGTTATACAGGCTTAACTTGCTGGTGTCAGAACTGATAAAACAAATTTACTTTTACAAAAGCATCTCAGATGATATGAACCCAAAAATCTTGGAGATGAAAATGTATTATGCTGTCACACTCATGTTCTATTTTATTATTTATATTAAATTGCCAATGTTTTTAAAATACAAAAAAGATGAAAGTCCACAGTGATTTGAATGTTAAATCTTACCTTTGAAGAGCCGTTTGAATACATCTGTATCATGTTCTCTGCTCCCTGCTTTACCTTCAGTTCTATATCCAATTGCTTTTTTAAGGCCATTAATCTGTTGTTAGTGGAAAAACGAGGATCACTGTTTGGAGTATCTGGAGTCCTGGGACAATCTGTAAATTAATACAAGTTATACAAGGTAAAAATCACACTTTTCTAAAATATAATTTGAAACAAAAAAGGGCAAAATATCATATTTTAACATTACAGCTATCTGTTTTGGGGTTCCTCTGAATCAACACAGCAAGTATGCCTTAGCATAAACAGCCAGATAAAAGCTCAGTGAGCTGTTACCTACAGCTCACTGTAAAATACTAAAATATATAAAATAACTTCCTAGGGTCAAAACAACAAGTAGTTATGCATCCAGGTTTATTTTTGTCCCCAAGGGGACAAAATGATGTCTCCTATGAAGTTTTGAATAATTAAAATGTAGGTTTGCTCTTAAGCTTTTTTACCTCAAGTTAAAACATGAGTTTTTTTGGATCACGACATTTAGTAGTACTGGGTAGTATGTAAAAAAGTCATTAAGTGTATTTAACTCCTCATCAATTATCACAGTCTAAATCAGGGGTCAGCAATGTTTTTTGGCACAGTGCCAAAAACAGCTGCAATCTCAATTTATAAGATTTTGGTGTGCCAGGGCAGATGGTGGGGGGCCTGCCAGGGGCACAATCCTTGTGGCAACACAGCCCCAGCCGCTTCCCCACCATCCAAAATGCCTTTGCATGCCATGCTCTGGCACCTGGGCCGAGGGTTGCCTATCCCTGGTCTAGATCTACTGTTCACTATACCAAAGATGCAGTTTACAGCAAGATTAAGAAACAGAAAAGAACTAATGCCTTACCCCACGCCACGCACACATGTGTATAACACACTTTTATATAAATAAGCTATTCCTGATTTGGGAAAACTAATAAACATAACAGATATGCCTAGGTAGCTGACTAATCACGTTACTGAAAGAGGAGAGATTTATGAAACGATACAATATATTCTTTAGGAAACAGTACTTTGCTAGATCCCTATTCCTTTTGATTAAATATTAAACTGAATATGATGTAGCTTGTCAACCAACTATACAATTATCCAAAGCCGTCCCTTGGCGGGGAACGAATCAGAGTTTGGGGGGGCCTGCGGACAGCGCCACTGGCACATGCCGAGGGTGCCACCACTCTGCTGGCTTCGCACTCAGTCCGCGCCCCACCCCCTCCCAAGCACAGGCTGATATGCCCCAGGACCCGCACACCCTTAGGGTCAGCTCTACAATGATCAACAAGTTCCACTTCCTTCTCCAAGTAAGTGTATGAATCACCCATCCAAATTCCAACCATTGGGGCAGCAACTATAAATCCAAGTTCTGAAAAAAGGAAGTCAGCATTAGGTTCTGCCCCTTGCTTAAACATTAATTTAAGTCCCCAACAAGCGATCATCCTCTAGCCTGCAGCACATTATTTTTTTATTCCTTAATAGCCTTGTAGGACCTTACCCAAAAATCTTCTCAAAAGCCAAGTTAATTTTGCCTGCTACATGACCTTTATTATTTTGTTAGCTGCTTGCAAGTAAATAACTTAGAGATGCTATCTTAGCGATCTATTGGCTTATCTCTGGGAGATGCTACTTATCATTAGCCTTGGCAGGATTTGATTTTTAAAATTGGTAAACAGTGATAAACAATTGATTTCACCACGCACTCAGACTGACGAAAAAATATCTCCATCATTAATAACTGAAATTCATAGAAAGGGGATGTAAGAAAAATGATGGCTGACTGAGTGTGTAGCGACAGGGGGAGCTGTCCTACAAAATCATGCTGACTGTAGTTTGGACTGCAAATCCCAGAAACCCCAGGAAACTGGAAACAAAGGAAGAGGAAGTGACAATGTAGAGGAGGGAGCTATGGGTGAGCAGGGCCCGGACAGATGGCATCTCTGCTACTCTGCTGGCAGCAGTTTTATAGTAGTTATGTTTGTCATTATTAAAGTGTCTGCCTCCCACACCTCTAAATTTGTAAATTAAAAAAAATTTAAAAAACCCCAAACAAACAAGCCTGAAATAAAGTGCTTAGAAAAGGTAAATATTGCTATTATCCATCAAAATTATTTAAAAAAATAAAAAGAGTTCTGACAAGTCTACTGATCTGATGCTTATATTTTATCACTATTTAGGTTTTTAGTTAATTTCCTGGAAGTAAAAGATGCTCAGTCTAGTTCTTGAGATTTTTCCTTGTTTATTTAAAAACCTATAGGTATTGTATTTGCAAACTCCTCACTTTGAAAATTTCATACACATTAGGAATGGAAGGGACCTCGGAAGATCACTGAGTTCAGCCCCCTGCCGAAGGGCAGGAAGTCAGCTGGGGTCATAGGATCCCAGCAAGATAAGCATCCAATTTACTCTTGAAGGTGTTCAATGTAGGTGCTTGAAACACCTCCGATGGCAGGCTATTCCAGACCTTGGGGGATCGGACAGTAAAGAAATTCTTCCTTATGTCCAGCCTGAAACAGTCTTGCACTAGTTTATAACTATTCAACCTCGTCATCCCTTGGGGAGCTCTGGTGAACAAACGTTTCCCCAGATACTGGTGGTCACCCCTGATAAACTTATAGGTGGCCATCAGATCACCCCTGAGCCTTTCCAGGCTAAAGAGCCCCATAGCTCTCAGCCTGTCATCATAAGATCTGTTTTCCTGACCTCTGATCATGTGTGTGGCTCTTCTCTGGACTCTCTCAAGTTTCTCCACATCCTTTTTGAATTGTGGGGCCCAAAACTGGATGCAGTACTTGAGCTGTGGCCTCACCAAGGCCGAGTACAAGGGGAGAATGAAATCCCGGGATTTGCTTGAGAAGCATCTATGGATGCAAGCCAGCGTTTTGGTCGCTTTACTAGCCGCAGCATCGACT